TGGCAGAGCTACTTCCCAGGCAGAAAAGGAAGGCAACTAACATTCCTGCTTGGCTGGCAGACCATCCAGACCCAGAAGGTAGCCCCTTCTCACCAGATGCTGCTGGTGGGGCTAGGACTTTGCTGCCTCACAACCTTTCTGGGTCTGGTGGAGCTGCTGGCCAGTTGAAAGTTATTCAATTTCCTGCGTAGCCAGCAGACTGGCCAGATGTGGAAGGAGCCCCTTCCCACAAGTGCACATGGTACACCACCCTCTGAAGTGTCCCCTGGTTCAGTACACACCCCTGCACCTCACTGATGACACCCCTGTTCCTGGAATCTTGGTACCTTTTAGTTAACTAATTATTTGCTTGTCATTTTATTTTTTAAAAAAGCAACTGCCATTTCTGAACATTTCCTTGCTTGGTTCTTTAATTAAATATACTGCACTAACAGATGAAGTTGACCTGGTTATCTAAAAACTAACTTGGGATTATGCCTTACCCATGTGCTAGATTGTTTAACAGAAACATGGTTAAATCATGACAAGGAAGTACTGAACAAAGGGCCTGCATTTCACCATAAAGGCTATTCAAGTTTCCTACTTATCAAGGATACAACATGGAAAAACTATAGATAGTGTGACCACATTTTATTGTGTGTTCCTGCATGGCAGGGAGTTGGACTGGATGGCCCTTGTGGTCTCTTCCAACTCTATGATTCTATGATCTATCTGTGAGGGGTATAGACAAAGAATCTGTCAGCCTGTGATTCCTTACAGAAGTGCAAATAAAACATATTGATTTGTCTAATTGTTAGTGAAAATCACTTCCAAAGTTGATTTTAGACCCAAGTGGGAAGCTATTATTGCCACAAATAGCATGTTTACTCTAGGGCAAATAGCAATGGGGGACAGAGGAATTTTGTTGGAACTGCAGCGTAGAGACAAAGGATTAATCACTACTTCATGCTTACCACACTTCAATTTCTACTATATTGCTTTTCTCCGTTTAAAGAAAACCACAGCCACAAATTGAGAGACACATTTGATATAACATGGAGGCTGAGATCCTGCATCAATAGATGCAGATACATTGCAGACCTTCATCACTGTCGGTACTTTTGCCAAAGCTACACAACCAAACCCTCTTTCATATGCCAGGAGGCCCCCCAACCAAATGCTTTTGCATTCAATTTTGTAGATAGACTTTAAAGGTTCATCTCTTTAGAAAGACTCAAGATAGACTCTTACTCTTTCTACCTTGAGATTGTGCACCCACCTAGCTATTATTTCCACTGCCTTTTTTTTTTTTTGGCAATCTGACTTATAGATTGGAGGACATCCAAGATAATTTATGCAGTCCTATCTCTATTGTTGTGAGAATTGACCATTTCTTTTCCCTTGGTGTACCCCTAGTAATAAGTAGGTTTTCAGAATGATGTTACCATGATAGCCAAGCCCTTGTGACATAAAATGGCTAACTTTTCATATCTCATTATAATCTTTGCTAACAAAAGAATAAAGTTATTGGCCTTATTTGATCATTTCTGTTCTCATTGGCAGGATTTTTTTCATGTGGCAATCCTTCAGTACCAGCAAGACATACCATGAAAAGTTGCAGCTGGTAATACTGCAGCAATATTGCAGTCACAGTAGGTAACTCTTTATTCTATTATATGTGGATTGCACCTGTGGCATCCTTCACAAACAAAAACAAAAACAAAAAAATACATTTACACCAGAACTGCACAACTATTGCTACAATCACGTGTTTGCATTTATTATATATTTATCAGAGGTAGTTATAAACCACACACTAGCAAATGAGCACTTGATGTGCAATTCAAAATAAAGCATAAATAGTAAAACAACATGAGGGAAAAATCGAATATAGGTTGTCTCCCTTATCTGAAATGTTTGGGATCAGAAGTGTTTGCGAGGGTTGGTTGGTTTTTGGAATATTTGTATATAAATAATGAGCTATCTTGGAGATGGAACACATGTCTCAACATGAACATCATTTTTGTTTCTTATACACTTTATATACAAAAGCCTGAAGGTAATTTTATAAACAATATTTTTAATGATTTTGTGCATGAAACATTTTTTTATACATTTAACCATCAGAAAACAAAGATGTTACTATCTCAGCCACCCATGTGGGCAATTTTAGATTTTGGACATAAAATCTGTCCAGCCTGTACATAAAATCTATCTGATAAAAGGGAGCGGAGACCTTCTTCTAGGCAGATATTTTGGCTGGGATATTTCTCTTTGGCTAAGATATTTCTGTCTATTTTTATGACAATTGATTCTTTTCAACTTAATTTTTATGATAATATCCAACATCTTTCTAGTAGCAGTCTTTGGAAAACCATGATTAATAATAATAATAATATTTTTTTTTATTTATAGCCCGCCCCTCTGCGGAGCAATCGAGGTGGGTTACAACATTTAAAATACACAGCTTAAAAACATTCTTATTCCATATCCAACCCTCCCACCCCTTAAAACAGAATTAAACTAATTAATGGTAGAATGTGTTGCTTTTCATCTTGTTATCTGTGGGACTCTTTCCAAATGCTGTTCCATCAAGTCTACTCTAGATGTAGGAAACTGCTCTATATCAAGTTGGATCATTAGTCTATATAGTTCAGGGGTGGCTGACAGTTTCTTTCACTGCATTTTTGATAAAGATTTTCCAGGACTGGCAAATTTCTTCATAAATGCATCAAGAAGAACTTGAGATTAAAAACCATGTGAACATAAGAGGAAATGAAACTGACAAAACTTATCCAGGCCAAGGGGTATGAGTTTTAAACATTTCACAGTCAGGTATTGAATTCTTGCCTGTTCATCCATGTCTGCAGTGTTAAATCAGGGTTTCAACCTCTTTTTTCGTTTCTGTTTTTAATATAGCATCCATATCTTTAACAGATAAATAGCAAGGCAACAGAAGATGACCCTTTCCATACTGTAATTTCTGTATTTATTTACCATGGCTGTTGGAGATAAGAGGGAATTTCATTTGATTCAGTTTTAACTTAACTGTTCTTTATTCAGTAAAACTACATATACCCAATAGCCCATTACATGTTCAAGTTCCCCCTTTTAACCATTCTGTACATTCTTATCTACATATAGTGTGTGTGAGAAGGGGGAGGCAGAGAGAGGAGTATTCAATTATGGACCTTCAGCATTCTGAGATACAACCATCTTTGAGGACTGGCTGGCTACAGTTCTGTCATTCTGTGACTGTTTTTGAATGAGTTAGGTTGGTATCCATCTATGTCTATATGTCAAGTCTGGCTATAAATAAGACCTTTTGAAATAAAATATTTTATTTAGAGTTGCTTCTGCCCACTTTGATGATGGTGAAATGGGTATCCAAGTCAGTTCTCCAACTTTTGTAGACACTCCAGAATAATTGAAACATCTCACTGAAAATAGGTGAGGGCTGCAATGATTGATCCATGTCTTTAAGAAAAAGATTGAATCCATATTTCCACCAGTGGGTTCAGACAGTGATAAATTCATCACAAGAAAATCCCAGAGCTGCTAAGACTTTGCTTCTGGAATTTACAGCTATCATGCAAGATTCATATCCTCTCTCTTCATTTATTGGAAACAAATCTTTCACAACTGACTAACATTATAAATGTACATTTAAATTCTGGTTGCAAATGGTGCTGGGAAGAAAAGGCATGTTCTCTCCAAACACAAACACATGCAACCCACACACACAGATTAAAACCAAAGGAAGTGTTGATAGGGCAACAAATCTACACCTGACTTTAGCTCAAATTCCACATGTTTTAACTCATTCTGGAGATAGCATTCAGTCATATGGGTAGCATTTAAAATTGTGGAAACATACCCCAGAGTGGTTCACAGAAGAGTGGGGAAGAAGGGAAGAGGAAGAACAAGTGTTATGAAAATATTTTTTGGTACTAAGTAAATTATAGTTAAAAACCCTTCTTAGAGGCTGAATAGACTACTCCTTTGGAGTGGTGTGCCACTACCCTTTCATTGCCAGATCAGGCCCATGGCAACCATACGTCCCACCCCTGATCTGATGCTTTGCTGGCCCAAAAAGGGTCAGAAAAATGCTGCTTCTTTTATAGTGGCAAAAAGCCATCCTTGCAACACCACGGCAGTTTTTCTGGGTTTCTTTGGTGCAGTGCATCTAAATGCTGAATCAAATAAATGTCTTGCGGCATGATGCCAGCATGGGGGCTGCATTGGGGTGTGCAGCATGTGGTTTCCACGTCCCCACTCTGCCCCAATGCTGGTGTTTAACACCAGTTTGTTTAGGCCCTTAGGTGGCTTGTGCTCCTGGAAGCAGCTGAACAAGAGGCATCATTTTGTCAAATAATTAACCAAGAAGATATGTCACCATATAATGTTTTCAAACCTGAAGGTATTCTCCAAAGAGGTTTGGTGATGTCTCATCCAGAGGGTTGCCATGAGTCAGGATCAACCTGAGGGCAGTTGACAACAATATAAAGAAATAAGAAAGAGAAGGGGAGCCCTCAAGAGTTATGAGCTAAATAAATTATTGTGATCTGTCTATTGTTTTCCTCACAGCTGTTTCAGGTTCCACTTCTCTTCCTTTTTTAATTATATAAGGAATTGGAAACAAATTATGAATAGAACTTGAGAACGTGGATGGACAAATTGTTTAGCTGTGCTGAAATTCCCAGCATCCCTCACAATTGCTGAGGCTGATTGTCTATGCATAATTGCCTGCACGGGTGACAAGGCTAATGGGGGTTGCAGTCCTATGACTTATGTGGGACTACAAGTTGCTCACCCTTCCCAATTATAGAAGTTCATTTTAGTGTGACATCCTATGCCTGTTTTTGTTGATGTGTGCCTTCAAGTTGTTTCCAACTTATGATAACCTTAAGGCAAGCCTATCATTGGGTTTCCTTGGCAATATTTGTTCAAATAAGGTTTGCCATTGCCTTCCCCTGAAGCTGAGCAAGTATGATTTGCCCAAAATCACCCAGTGGGTCTCATGGCTGTACTGGGATTCGAACCCTAGTCTCGAGAGTCACCGTCCAACATTCAAACCACTACACCACACTGGCTTTCTCATAACTGTTTACTTTATTCTATATTATTTTATACAAGTGTGCTTAAGGTTGCAATCTTAATAAAAAAAAATGAGGTCTCGAACATGCTTATTGGGAAATTTAACGACTAAACACAGTGAAACCAACTTCTCTGTTGATCTGTCTAGAACTGTACTGTTTCTTAAATCACTTGGTTTTATGCCTCTGTAGTGGAACTAAGGTACAGTCTTAGGCAGTAATATAATAATGCCCTATTAAAATTAATAAGATTTATGCTCAGTAATCATGCATCATTTGGCATCAGTACTGTATTTATCACATGCCTTTT